TCGGGCAACGTTCGGGCGACGTCCAGCCGACGTTGAGGCGACGTCTGCTTCGCTCTCGATGCGAGTCGCCGCTAACACGCCGGTCTACGGGCCGCCATGTTGTCACTACCGGGTGAGGCGCAGGGGGATGACGACACGGGGGGGGCGACCTGAGTAAACAGCGGCCATCTTACGTGAGGAAGGTGAGTTTAAAACGATGTCAATGGGAAGCGGCCATCTTACGTGAGGAAGGTGAGTTTAAAACGATGTCAATGGGAAGCGGCCATCTTACGTGAGGAAGGTGAGTTTAAAACGATGTCAATGGGACGCGGCCATCTTACGTGGGGGAGGTGCGTTTAAAACGATGTCAATGGGAAGCGGCCATCTTACGTAGGGGTGGGGAATTTTCTTAGGTGAGGGTGAGAGTTTACAGTGCAAGTAGATAATTAGCGGCCATCTTACGTAGGGGTGGGTAATGTTTACAGTGCAAGTAGATAAGGAGCGGCCATCTTACGTGGGTGTTTAAATTTGTAAAGACGTAAGGGTGTTTCTTTTGGTCAATGGCAGGCGGCCATCTTACGTAGGGAGAAATTTCACGCGACTCGATTGGAGCGGCCATCTTAGGTGGGGGGGATTTATACCACTGGTGGCCATCTTACGTAGGGGGGAACTTACAAATGAAAGTCGATAGGAGGGCCATCTTAGGTAGGGAGAGAGTTGCAAAGAATCACGGTGGCTAGATGTTGACTACCTCGCCTGGTCTACAGGAGGTCGTGGGTTCGATCCCGACCCTGATGAGATGTTGACTACCTCGCCTGGTCTACAGGAGGTCGTGGGTTCGATCCCGACAATGGTGAGATGTTGACTACCTCGCCTGGTCTACAGGAGGTCGTGGGTTTGATCCTGACAATGGTGAGATGTTGACTACCTCGCCTGGTCTACAGGAGGTCGTGGGTTCGATCCTGACAATGGAGAGATGTCGACTACCTCGCCTGGTCTACAGGAGGTCGTGGGTTCGATCCTGACAATGGTGAGATGTTGACTACCTCGCCTGGTCTACAGGAGGTCGTGGGTTCGATCCCGACCCTGATGAGACGTTGACTACCTCGTCTGGTCTACAGGAGGTCGTGGATTTGATCCTGACAATGGAGAGATGTTGACTACCTCGCCTGGTCTACAGGAGGTCGTGGGTTCGATCCTGACAATGGAGAGATGTCGACTACCTCGCCTGGTCTACAGGAGGTAGTGGGTTCCATCCTGATAATGGTGAGATGTTGACTACCTCGCCTGGTACGCAGGATGTCGTGGGTTCGATCCCGACAATTGAGAGATGTTGACTACCTCGCCTGGTCTACAGGAGGTAGTGGGTTCCATCCTGATAATGGTGAGACGTTGACTACCTCGCCTGGTACGCAGGAGGTCGTGGGTTCGATCCCGACCCTGATGAGATGTTGACTACATCGCCTGGTCTACAGGAGGTCGTGGGTTCCATCCCGGATCGTACCTAGGGGAGGCCCAGGACCAGTTCAGATGATCGTCGCTGGTGTTGACCAAGAGCGGGAATCGAACTCAGGTCACGAAGGGCTCCACCACCGCTCCCCACAACACAAAGACCCCCGTTAGCCACCAACATGACCACTACCATCACTACCACCACCATAACCACTACCATCATTACCACCACCACCATGACCACCATCACCATGACCACCACCACCATGACCACTACCACCACCACCATAACCACCACCAACACAATGACCACCACCATCACCATGACCACCACCATGACCACTACCACCACCACCATAACCACCACCACCACAATGACCACCACCATGACCACCACTACCACCACCATGACCACCACCACCACTATGACCACTACCACCACCACCACCATAACCACCACCACCATGACCACCACCACCACGATGACCACTACCACCACCATAACCACCACTACCACAATGACCACCACCACAATGACCACCACCACCACCACCATGACCACCACGACCACCACCACGACCACCACCACAACCACCACCACCACAATGACCACCATCACCATGACCACTACCACCACCATAACCACCATGACCACCACCACCATGGCCACCACCACCACCATGACCACTACCACCACCATGACCACCAAGACCACCATCACCACAATGACCACCACCACTACCACCATGACCACAACTACCACCACCACCATAACCACTACCACCATGACCATCACCATCACAATGACCACCATCACCATCACCACGACCACCACCATGACCACAACTACCACCATGACCACCACCACCATAACCACTACAACCACCACCATCATGGTTGCTAGACGGTGGAGGTGTTTGTATTGTGGGGAGCGGTGGTGTAACGCTTAGCGACCAGCGACGATTATCTGAACCGGTCCTGGGCCTCTCCTAGGTCGACTCAGCCTAAAAAACACATTGTCCTGCGGAGGGAGCTGGTAGGAACGTCGGGTTGCTCGGTCAATGGCCTGCAGGGTCAACGGCGGCGTGGTGTATTCCGCAAATATGGCCGACTGTGAGGGCGGGCACAAGCCGGCGTGAGTAGGTGAAACGTTGAGTTTTATAAGGGCACCACGGGGTGACCAGCCCCTCCCCACCCAGCCCCACCCCTCCCACCCCCCACCCAGCCCCACCCTCCCCACCCAGCCCCTCCCCACCCAGCCCCACCCCTCCCACCCCCCCACCCAGCCCCTCCCTCCCCACCCAGCCCCTCCCCACCCTCCCCCTCCCCACCCAGCCCCACTCTCCCCTCCCCACCCAGCTCCCCACCCAGCCCCTCCCCACCCAGCCCCACCCCTCCCCACCCAGCCCCTCCCTCCCCACCCAGCCCCTCCCCACCCTCCCCTCTCAGCCCCACCCCTCCCACTCCCCACCCAGCCCCACCCTCCCCACCCTCCCCTCCCCACCCAGCCCCACCTCTCCCACCCTCCCCACCCAGCCCATCCCCACCCTCCCCTTCCCACCCAGCCCCACCCTCCCCACCCAGCCCCACCCTCCCCTCCCTCCCCACCCAGCCCCACCCTCCCCTCCCCACCCAGCCCTCCCCACCCCCACCCTCCCCACCCAGCCCCACCCTCCCCACCCAGCCCCTCCCCACCCAGCCCCACCCTCCCCTCCCCACCCAGCCCCACGCTCCCCACCCAGCCCCTCCCTGCACGACGGACGACAACACTAATCCCCTGTGGGCTGGTGTAACCAGGAGGTTCCTGGCAGTACGAGTCACCTGGTGCGGTGGTTGGTGTGTAGTAAACATCGCCACTGGGGAGACAAAGGCGGCCGAGCGTGGTGCTGGCCACCCACCCACCCACTCTGTGTTGGCCTTAATAGGTGCTCGCTAACAGCACTTGCCCCCAACGGTGAGAGACTATACGGGGGTCTTTGTCTTGTGTTGTGGGGAGCGGTGGTGCAGCGGTTAGCACCCTATGCTGCGCTACGAACCCGCCTCTGACCCGAGTTCGATTCCCGCTCGAGACCACCAACACTCAGCGAGAGCGATTATTATCTCAATCGGTTCTGGGTCTCCTCTAGGCAGGGTCGGGATCGAACCCACGACCTCCTGCGTACCAGGCGAGGTAGTCAACATCTCACAGGGTTCCGGGATCCAACCCACGACCTCCTGTAGACCAGGCGAGGTAGTCAACATCTCACCAGGGTCGGGATCGAACCCACAACCTCCTGCGTACCAGGCGAGGTAGTCAACATCTCACAGGGTTCCGGGATCCAACCCACGACCTCCTGTAGACCAGGCGAGGTAGTCAACATCTCACCAGGGTCGGGATCGAACCCACGACCTCCTGTAGACCAGGCGAGGTAGTCAACATCTCACCAGGGTCGGGATCGAACCCACAACCTCCTGCGTACCAGGCGAGGTAGTCAAAATCTCAGGGTCGAGATCGAACCCACGACCTCCTGCGTACCAGGCGAGGTAGTCAACATCTCAGGGACGAGATCGAACCCACGACCTGCTGTGTACCAGGCGAGGTAGTCAACATCTCATCAGGGTCGGGATCGAACCCACGACCTCCTGTGTACCAGGCGAGGTAGTCAACATGTCACAAGGTTGAGGCATCGAACCCACGACCTCCTGCGTACTAGGCGAGGTAGTTAACATCTCATCAGGGACGAGATCGAACCCACAATCTCCTGCGTACCAGTTGAGATAGTCAACATCTCACAGAATTCCGGGATCGAATCCATGACCTCTTGCGTACTCGGTGAGGTAGTCAACATCTCACAGGGTACCGGGAACAAACCCACGACCTCCTGCGTACCAGGCGAGGTAGTCAACATCTCACACCAAGTTTGATCCATTCATTTATTTAATAAAATAACAACAACACAACAGAACCGCTCACACCACAACCACCACCATAACCACCACCACCACCACAACCACCGTCGCACAAATAACCATGTCCTGTATTGAACCATGTCCTGTATAGAACCACGTCCTGTATAGAACCACGTCCTGTATAGAACCATGTCCCGTATTGACCCATGTCCCGTATTGACCCATGTCCCGTATTGAACCCTGTCCCGTATAGAACCATGTCCTGTATTGAACAATGTCCTGTATTGAACCATGTCCTGTATTGAACCATGTCCTGTATTGAACCATGTCCCGTATTGAACCACGTCCTGTATTGAACCATGTCCTGTATTGAACCACGTCCTGTATTGAACCATGTCCCGTATTGAACCACGTCCTGTATTGAACCATGTCCCGTATTGAACCATGTCCTGTATTGAACCACGTCCTGTATTGAACCATGTCCTGTATAGAACCACGTCCTGTATTGAACCATGTCCTGTATTGAACCATGTCCCGTATTGAACCATGTCCTGTATAGAACCATGTCCTGTATTGAACCATGTCCTGTATTGAACCATGTCCCGTATTGAACCACGTCCTGTACTGAACCATATCCCGTATTGAACCATGTCCTGTATTGAACCATGTCCCGTATTGAACCACGTCCTGTATTGAACCATGTCCTGTATAGAACCACGTCCCGTATTGAACCATGTCCCGTATTGAACCATGTCCCGTATAGAACCATGTCCTGTATTGAACCACGTCCTGTATTGAACCACGTCCTGTATTGAACCATGTCCTGTATTGAACCATGTCCCGTATTGAACCATGTCCTGTACTGAACCATGTCCTGTATTGAACCATGTCCTGTATTGAACCACGTCCTGTATTGAACCATGTCCTGTATTGAACCATGTCCCGTATTGAACCACGTCCTGTATTGAACCACGTCCTGTACTGAACCATGTCCTGTATTGAACCATGTCCCGTATTGAACCATGTCCCGTATTGAACCATGTCCTGTATTGAACCATGTCCTGTATAGAACCACGTCCTGTATTGAACCATGTCCTGTATTGAACCATGTCCTGTACTGAACCATGTCCCGTATTGAACCATGTCCTGTATTGAACCATGTCCCGTATTGAACCATGTCCTGTATAGAACCATGTCCCGTATTGAACCACGTCCTGTATTGAACCATGTCCTGTATTGAACAATGTCCTGTATTGAACCATGTCCTGTATTGAACCATGTCCTGTATTGAACCATGTCCCGTATTGAACCACGTCCTGTATTGAACCATGTCCTGTATTGAACCACGTCCTGTATTGAACCATGTCCCGTATTGAACCACGTCCTGTATTGAACCATGTCCCGTATTGAACCATGTCCTGTATTGAACCACGTCCTGTATTGAACCATGTCCTGTATAGAACCACGTCCTGTATTGAACCATGTCCTGTATTGAACCATGTCCCGTATTGAACCATGTCCTGTATAGAACCATGTCCTGTATTGAACCATGTCCTGTATTGAACCATGTCCCGTATTGAACCACGTCCTGTACTGAACCATATCCCGTATTGAACCATGTCCTGTATTGAACCATGTCCCGTATTGAACCACGTCCTGTATTGAACCATGTCCTGTATAGAACCACGTCCCGTATTGAACCATGTCCCGTATTGAACCATGTCCCGTATAGAACCATGTCCTGTATTGAACCACGTCCTGTATTGAACCACGTCCTGTATTGAACCATGTCCTGTATTGAACCATGTCCCGTATTGAACCATGTCCTGTACTGAACCATGTCCTGTATTGAACCATGTCCTGTATTGAACCACGTCCTGTATTGAACCATGTCCTGTATTGAACCATGTCCCGTATTGAACCACGTCCTGTATTGAACCACGTCCTGTACTGAACCATGTCCTGTATTGAACCATGTCCCGTATTGAACCATGTCCCGTATTGAACCATGTCCTGTATTGAACCATGTCCTGTATAGAACCACGTCCTGTATTGAACCATGTCCTGTATTGAACCATGTCCTGTACTGAACCATGTCCCGTATTGAACCATGTCCTGTATTGAACCATGTCCCGTATTGAACCATGTCCTGTATAGAACCATGTCCCGTATTGAACCACGTCCTGTATTGAACCATGTCCTGTATAGAACCATGTCCTGTATTGAACCATGTCCCGTATTGAACCACGTCCTGTACTGAACCATGTCCCGTATTGAACCATGTCCTGTATTGAACCATGTCCCGTATTGAACCATGTCCTGTATAGAACCATGTCCCGTATTGAACCATGTCCTGTATAGAACCACGTCCCGTATTGAACCATGTCCTGTACTGAACCATGTCCCGTATTGAACCACGTCCTTATTGAACCACGTCCTGTATTGAACCATGTCCTGTATAGAACCATGTCCTGTATTGAACCACGTCCTGTATTGAACCACGTCCTGTATTGAACCATGTCCTGTATTGAACCATGTCCCGTATTGAACCATGTCCTGTATTGAACCATGTCCTGTATAGAACCACGTCCTGTATTGAACCATGTCCTGTACTGAACCATGTCCTGTATTGAACCATGTCCTGTATTGAACCATGTCCCGTATAGAACCCTTGAGGTTGGTGATCTCTCTCTCCTGGGAACGTCTTCTCAACGTCGCTTCCCGACATTCGTGAATCCTGCAAAGAGAACAGTGAGTGGGTGAGTGGGCGAGCGAGCGGGCGGACGGGCGAGTGGGTGGGCGAGTGAGCGAGTATTTGAGTCAGTGGTTGAGTGGGTGAATGAGTGGGTGGATGAGTGGGTGGGTGGGTGAGCGAGCGAGTATTTGAGTGAGTGGGTGAATGAGCGGTGAGTGTTTGAGTGAGTGGTAGTCAGTGGATGAGTGGGTGAATGAGTGGGTGGTTGACTGAGTGGGTGGTTGACTGAGTGAATGAGTGGGTGAATGAGTGGGTGAATGAGTGGGTGAATGAGTGGGTGGATGAGTGGGTGGGTGGGTGAGTGAGCGAGTATTTGAGTGAGTGGGTGAATGAGTGGTGAGTGTTTGAGTGAGTGGGTGAATGAGTGGGTGGTTGACTGAGTGGATGAGTGGGTGGTTGAGTGGGTGGGTGGTTGAGTGAGTAGTTTAGTGAGTGCTTGAATGAGGCATTTTGTGAGTAGTTGAGTGTTTTTTTTGGTGAGCAGTTTGGTGAATGGGCGAGTATGAGTGAGTGAGAGTATGAGTGAGTGAGAGTATGAGTAAGTGAGAGTATGAGTGAGTGGGTGATTGGTTGAGTGAGTGAGTGTGCGAGTGGGTTGGTGAGTGGTTTAATGGGTGAGTATGAGTGTGAGTGAGCGGGTGATTGGTTGAATGAGTGTGTGAGTGGGTTGGTGAGTGGTTTAATGGGTGAGAATATGAGTGAGTGAGAGTATGAGTGAGCGGGTGATTGGTTGAGTGAGTGAGTGTGTGAGTGGGTTGGTGAGTGGTTTAATGGGCGAGTATGAGTGTGTGTGAGCGGGTGATTGGTTGAGTGAGTGAGTGTGTGAGTGGGTTGGTGAGTGGTTTAATGGGTGAGTATGAGTGTGTGTGAGCGGGTGATTGGTTGAGTGAGTGAGTGTGTGAGTGGGTGAGTGGGTGGGTGAGTGGGTGGGTGAGAGGGTGGGTGAGTGGGTGAGTGGGTGGGTGAGTGGGTGAGTGGGTCGGTGAGTGGGAGGGTGGGTGGGTGGGAGGGTGAGTGAGTGAGTGAGTGGGTGGGTGGGTGGGTGAGTGGGAGGGTGAGTGGGTGGGTGAGTAGGAGGGTGGGTGGGTGGGTGAGTGAGTGGGTGAGTGGGTGGGTGAGTGGGTGGGTGGGTGAGTGGGAGGGTGGGTGAGTGGGAGGGTGGGTGAGTGGGTGGGTGGGTGAGTGGGTGGGTGGGTGAGTGGGTGGGTGAGTGAGTGGGTGAATGAGTGGGTGGGTGAGTGAGCGAGTGTTTGAGTGAGTGGGAGTCAGTGGATGAGTGGGTGGATGAGTGGCTGAATGAGTGGGTGGTTGACTGAGTGGTTGAGTGAGTAGTTTATTGAGTGCTTGAATGAGGCGTTTTGTGAGTAGTTGAGTGTTTTGGTGAGCAGTTTGGTGAATGGGCGAGTATGAGTGAGTGAGAGTATGAGTGAGTGGGTGATTGGTTGAATGAGTGAATGTGTGAGTGGGTTGGTGAGTGGTTTAGTGGGTGAGTATGAGTGTGTGTGAGCGGGTGATTGGTTGAGTGAGTGAGTGTGCGAGTGGGTTGGTGAGTGGTTTAGTGGGTGAGTATGAGTGAGTGAGAGTATGAGTGAGTATGAGTGTGTGTGAGCGGGTGATTGGTTGAGTGAGTGAGTGTGCGAGTGGGTTGGTGAGTGGTTTAGTGGGTGAGTATGAGTGAGTGTGAGCGGGTGATTGGTTGAGTGAGTGAGTGTGCGAGTGGGTTGGTGAGTGGTTTAGTGGGTGAGTATGAGTGTGTGTGAGCGGGTGATTGGTTGAGTGAGTGAGTGTGCGAGTGGGTTGATGAGTGAGCGGGTGAGTGAGTGGGGAACTCTCACCTGGCGTGGTGGTTTTTCTCCCCCCTTCTCTCTGTGACCAACTCAGGCGATGAAGTCCAGGGGCCGGTTGAAGCCTCCCTTGCGGTTCATGTACTGCCTGCAGGCACGGGAGAAGACAGAGCTTAGAGACGGTGGGTGGGTAGGTGGGTGGGTAGGTGGGTGAGTGGGTGGGTAGGTGGGTGGGTGAGTGGGTGGGATAGGTGAGTGGGTGGGTAGGTAGGTGGGTAGGTGAGTGGGTGGGTGGGTAGGTGGTGGGTGAGTGGGTGGGATAGGTGAGTGGGTGGGTGGGTAGGTGAGTGGGTGGGTAGGTGGGTGATTAGGTGAGTGGGTGAGTAGGTGGGTAGGTGGGTGAGTAGGTGGGTGAGTGGGTGGGTGAGTGGGTGGGTAGGTGGGTGGGTGAGTGGGTGGGTGGGTGGGTAGGTGGGTGAGTGGGTGGGTAGGTGGGTGGGTGAGTGGGTGGGTAGGTGGGTGGGTAGATGAGTGGGTGAGTAGGTGAGTGCGTGGGTGGGTGATTAGGTAAGTGGGTGGGTGAGCGAGTGGGTGGGTTAGTGGGTGGGTAGGTGAGTGGGTGGGTAGGTGAGTGCGTGGGTGGGTGATTAGGTAAGTGGGTGGGTGAGCGAGTGGGTGGGTTAGCGAGTGGGTGGGTTAGCGGGTGGGTGAGCGAGTGAGTGGGTGGGTAGGTGGGTGATTAGGTGAGTGGGTGGGTAGGTGAGTGGGTGGGTGATTAGGTAAGTGGGTGGGTGAGCGAGTGGGTGGGTTAGTGGGTGGGTGAGCGAGTGGGTGGGTTAGTGGGTGGGTGAGCGAGTGAGTGATTAGGTGGGTGAGTGGGTAGGTGGGTAGGTGAGTGGGTGGGTAGGTGAGTGTGTGAGTGGGTGGGTAGGTGAGTGTGTGAGTGGGTGGGTGATTAGGTGAGTAAGTGGGTGGGTGATTAGGTGAGTAAGTGGGTAGGTGGGTGGGTGAGCGAGTGGGTGGGTGAGTGGGTGATTGGGTGGGTGAGTGGGTGGGTGAGTGAATGGGTGAGTAAGTGAGTGGGTGAGTAAGTGAGTGGGTGGATGAGTGAGTGGGTGAGTAAGTGAGTGGGTGAGTAAGTGAGTGGGTGAGTGGGTGGGTGAGTGAGAGAGTGGGTGGGTGAGTAAGTGAGTGGGTGAGTGAGCGAGTGGATGAATGAGTGACTAGGTGGGTGGGTGAGTGAGTGGTTGGGTGAGTGAGTAAGTGAGTGGGTGAGTGGGTAGGTGGGTGAGTTGATTAGTGAGTGACTGGGTGGGTGAGTGGGTGGGTGAGTAAGTGAGTGGGTTAGTAAGTGAGTGGGTGGGTGAGTAAGTCAGTTGGTGGGTGAGTGAGTGGGTGAGTAAGTGAGTGGGTGAGTGGGTGAGTGAGTGAGCGAGTGGATGAATGAGTGACTGGGTGGGTGAGTGAGTAGTTGAGTGAGTGGGTGAGTAAGTGAGTGGGTGGGTGAGTGAGTGGATGAATGAGTGACTGGGTGGGTGAGTGAGTGGGTGAGTGAGTGAATTAATGAGTGACTGGGTGGGTGGGTGAGTGAGTGGGTGAGTGAGTGGGTGAGTAAGCGAGTGGATGAGTAAGTGACTGGGTGGGTGGGTGGGTGAGTGAGTGAGTGGGTAAGTGAGTGGATGAGTAAATGAGTGGGTGGGTGAGTGAGTGAGCGAGTGGATGAATGAGTGACTGGGTGGGTGAGTGAGTGGGTGAGTGAGTGAATTAATGAGTGACTGGGTGGGTGGGTGAGTGGGTGAGCGAGTGGGTGAGTAAGTGAGTGGATGAGTAAGTGAGTGGGTGGGTGAGTGAGCGAGTGGATGAATGAGTGACTGGGTGGGTGAGTGACTGGGTGGGTGGGTGAGTAAGTGAGTGGGTTAGTAAGTGAGTGGGTGGGTGAGTAAGTCAGTTGGTGGGTGAGTGAGTGAGTGGGTGAGTAAGTGAGTGGGTGAGTGGGTGAGTGAGCGAGTGGATGAATGAGTGACTGGGTGGGTGAGTGAGTGGGTGAGTGAGTGGGTGAGTAAGTCAGTGGGTGAGTAAGTGAGTGGGTGGGTGAGTAAGTGAGTGGGTGGGTGAGTGAGTGAGCGAGTGGATGAATGAGTGACTGGGTGGGTGAGTGAGTGGGTGAGTGAGTGAATTAATGAGTGACTGGGTGGGTGGGTGAGTGAGTGGGTGAGTGAGTGAGTGGGTGAGTAAGCGAGTGGATGAGTAAGTGACTGGGTGGGTGGGTGGGTGAGTGAGTGGGTAAGTGAGTGGATGAGTAAATGAGTGGGTGGGTGAGTGAGTGAGCGAGTGGATGAATGAGTGACTGGGTGGGTGAGTGAGTGGGTGAGTGAGTGAATTAATGAGTGACTGGGTGGGTGGGTGAGTGGGTGAGTGAGTGGGTGAGTAAGTGAGTGGATGAGTAAGTGAGTGGGTGGGTGAGTGAGCGAGTGGATGAATGAGTGACTGGGTGGGTGAGTGAGTGGGTGAGTGAGTGAATTAATGAGTGACTGGGTGAGTGGGTGAGTAAGTGAGTGGGTTAGTAAGTGAGTGGGTGGGTGAGTAAGTCAGTTGGTGGGTGAGTGAGTGAGTGGGTGAGTAAGTGAGTGGGTGAGTGGGTGAGTGAGTGAGCGAGTGGATGAATGAGTGACTGGGTGGGTGAGTGAGTGGGTGAGTGAGTGGGTGAGTAAGTCAGTGGGTGAGTAAGTGAGTGGGTGGGTGAGTAAGTGAGTGGGTGGGTGAGTGAGTGAGCGAGTGGATGAATGAGTGACTGGGTGGGTGAGTGAGTGGGTGAGTGAGTGAATTAATGAGTGACTGGGTGGGTGGGTGAGTGAGTGAGTGGGTAAGTGAGTGGATGAGTAAATGAGTGGGTGGGTGAGTGAGTGAGCGAGTGGATGAATGAGTGACTGGGTGGGTGAGTGAGTGGGTGAGTGAGTGAATTAATGAGTGACTGGGTGGGTGGGTGAGTGGGTGAGTGAGTGAGTGGGTGAGTAAGTGAGTGGATGAGTAAGTGAGTGGGTGGGTGAGTGAGCGAGTGGATGAATGAGTGACTGGGTGGGTGAGTGAGTGGGTGAGTGAGTGAATTAATGAGTGACTGGGTGGGTGAGTCAGTGGGTGAGTGAGTGAGTGAATGGGTGAGTAAGTGAGTGGATGAGTAAGTGACTGGGTGGGTGGGTGAGTAAGTGAGTGGATGAGTAAGTGAGTGGGTGGGTGAGTAAGTGAGCGAGTGGTGAGCGAGTGGTGAGCGAGTGGTGAGCGAGTGGTGAGTGAGTGGTGAGTGAGTGGGTGAGTGGTGAGTGAATGGTGAGTAAGTGAGTGAGTGGTGAGTCACCGGTATTTCCGCTTGAGTGAGATGTTGACTGCGTGGGCATTGCTGGATCCGGCCATGTGCTTACCCTGTCACCACAACGTTACCACAAAGTTAACACAAAGTTAACACAGAGTTAACACAGAGTTACCCTGTCAACTCAAAGTTACCACAAAGTTAACACAACGTTACATTACCACACGATGGTGACTGTGATGATGATGGTGATGATGGTGATGATGGTGATGATTGTGATGATGACTGTGATGGTGATGATGGTGATGATGGTGATGATGATGGTGATGATGATGGTGATGATGACTGTGATGGTGATGATGGTGATGATGATGATGATTGTGATGATGGTGATGATGATGGTGATGATGGTGATGATGATGGTGATGATGATGGTGATGATGGTGATGATGATGATGTGATGATGACGGTGATGACTATGACTGCGATGATGATGACTATGATTGTGATGATGATGACTATGATGATGATGACTATGATTGTGACGATGATGATAGTGACGATGATGTTTGATTGGCATCACTCCACCTTGCTGGTCTCGAAGTTGCTGAACCCCATGGTAGCCATCATCTCCATCTCGTCCGGAGTCTGATCACTCTCCACCTCCACCTCTGTGGGTTCACGATGGCCGTGTCACACACTGCAGATGTTGACTACCTCGCCTGGTACACAGGAGGTCGTGGGTTCAATCCTGACCCTGATGAGATGTTGACTACCTCGCCTGGTCTACAGGAGGTCGTGGGTTCGATCCTGACCCTGATGAGATGTTGACTACCTCGCCTGGTACACAGGAGGTCGTGGGTTCGATCCCGACCCTGATGAGATGTTGACTACCTCGCCTGGTAGTCAGGAGGACGTGGGTTCGATCTCTGATTGAGTGAGTCAGTGAGTGAGCCAGTGGGTGAGCCATAGAGTGAGTCACTGGGTGAGTCACTGGGTGAGTCACTGATTGAGTAACTAGGTGGGCGAGCGAGTCACTGAGTAAGACAGTGAGTGACTGTGTGAGCGAGTGAGTGAGTCACTGAGTGAGCGAGTCACTGTGTGAGTCACTGAGTGAGTAAGCCACTGTGTGAGTCACTGAGTGAGCCACTGTGTGAGTCACTGATTGAGTGACTGGGTGAGTGAGTCACTGTGTGAGTGGGTGAATGAGTGGGTGAATGAGTGATTCACTGTGTGAGTGAGTCACTCTGTGAGTGAGTGGATGAGTGGGTGAGTGAGAGGGTGAGTGAGTGGGTGAATGAGTGAGTCACTGGGTGAGTGAGTCACTGGGTGAGTGACTGGGTGAGTCACTGTGTGAGTCACTGATTGAGCGAGTGAGTGACTGCGTGAGTGAGTCACTGATTGAGTGAATGGGTGAGTGAGTGTCTGCGTGAGCCACTGTGTGCGTCACTGATTGAGTGACTGGGTGGGCGAGTGAGTGAGTCACTGAGTGAGTCACTGAGCGAGTAAGACAGTGAGTGAGTGACTGGGTGAGTGATTGAGTGAGTCACTGAGTGAGTAACTGAGTGAGTAAGACAGTGAGTGACTGGGTGAGCGATTGAGTGAGGGACTAGGTGGGCGAGTGAATGAGTCACTGAGTGAGTGAGTCATGGATTGAGTAACTGGGTGAGTGATTGAGTGACTAGGTGGGTGGGTGAGAGAAACAGTGAGTGATTGAGTGATTGAGTGAGTGACTAGGTGGGCGAGTGAGTGAGTCACTGAGTGAGTGAGTCACAGATTGAGCGAGTGAGTGACTGCGTGAGTGAGTGCGTCACTGAGTGACTGGGTGGGCGAGTGAGTGAGTCACTGAGTGAGTGAGACAGTGAGTGAGCCACTGTGTAAGTCACTGTGTAAGTGACTGGGTGAGTGATTGAGTCACTGAGTGAGTGACTGGGTGAGTCACTGAGTGAGACAGTGAGTGAGACACTGAGTGATTCACTGAGTGAGTCATTGATTGACTGGGTGGGCGAGTGAGTGAGTCACTGAGTCACTGAGTGAGTGACTGGGTGAGTGATTGAGTGACTAGGTGGGCGAGTGAGTGAGTCACTAAGTGAGCGAGTCACTAAGTGAGCGAGCGAGTGAGCCAGTGAGTGAGTGAGTCACTGAGTGAGCGAGCGAGTGAGCCAGCGAGTGAGTGAGTCACTGAGTGAGTCACTGAGTGAGTGACTGGGTGAGTCACTGAGTGAGACACTGGGTGAGTGAGTGAGACACTGAGTGAGTGAGTGAGTCACTGAGTGAGTGAGTTACTGTGTGAGTCACTGATTGAGTGACTGGGTGAGTGAGTCACTGTGTGAGTGGGTGAATGAGTGGGTGAATGAGTGATTCACTGGGTGAGTGAGTCACTGAGTGATTCACTGGGTGAGTCATTGATTGACTGGGTGGGCGAGTGAGTGAGTCACTGAGTGAGTGACTGGGTGAGTGATTGAGTGACTAGGTGGGCGAGTGAGTGAGTCACTAAGTGAGCGAGCGAGTGAGCCAGCGAGTGAGTCACTGAGTGAGCCAGCGAGTGAGTCACTGAGTGACTGAGTGAGCGAGCGAGTGAGCCAGCGAGTGAGTCACTGAGTGAGTGACTGGGTGAGTGATTGAGTGACTAGGTGAGCGAGTGAGTGAGTCACTAAGTGAGCCAACGAGTGAGTCACTGAGTGAGTGAGTCACTGAGTGAGCCAGCGAGTGAGCGAGCGAGTGAGTCACTGAGTGAGTCACTGAGTGAGCGAGCGAGTGAGCGAGCGAGTGAGCGAGTGAGTGAGTCACTGAGTGAGTGACTGAGTGAGCGAGCGAGTGAGCCAGCGAGTGAGTGAGTCACTGAGTGAGTCACTGAGTGAGCGAGCGAGTGAGCGAGCGAGTGAGTGAGTCACTGAGTGAGTCACTGAGTGAGCGAGCGAGCGAGCGAGTGAGTCACTGAGTGAGTCACTGAGTGAGCGAGCGAGTGAGCCACCGAGTGAGCCACAAACCCTTGGGCTTGACCTTGCGCTGGGACATGGGAGGGGGCGATGAGAGAATGGGCTCAGAGGCGTGACGGGTCGGAGACACGGAATCGGAGCGCGGACGACGCGGAGATCTGGGGACAGAGAGCAGACAGAGAGAGAGAGACACACACAGAGAGACAGATGGAGAGAGACACAGAGAGAGAGAGACACACACAGAGAGACAGATGGAGAGAGACACAGAGAGAGAGAGACACACACAGAGAGACAGATGGAGAGAGACACAGAGAGAGAGACAGAGAGAGACACACAGAGAGAGAGACACAGAGAGAGACACAGAGAGAGAGAGACACACAGAGAGAGAGACAGAGAGAGAGACAGCGAGACACACACAGAGAGAGAGACAGAGAGAGAGAGAGACAGAGAGACGCACAGAGAGAGAGACACACAGAGAGACAGAGAGAGAGACAGAGAGAGACACACACAGAGAGAGACAGAGAGAGAGAGAGAGAGACAGAGAGACACACAGAGAGAGACACACAGAGAGAGAGAGACACACAGAGAGACAGAGAGAGACACACACAGAGATAGACAGAGAGAGAGACAGAGACACACACAGAGAGAGAGAGACAGAGAGAGAGACAGAGAGAGAGACAAAGAGACAATGAGATACACAGTCACACAGATAAAGTACTGGTGTGATGAGTTATTCGACGAGTGTATGAGTGATTGAGTGAGTGGGTGAGTGAGCGTGTGAGTGAGCGGGTGAGTGAGCGTGTGAGTGTGTGGGTGAGTGGGTGAGTGAGCATGTGAGTGAGCGTGTGAGTGTGTGGATGAGTGGGTGAGTGAGCGTGTGAGTGGGTGATTGAGTGAGTGAGTGGGTGAGTGGGTGAGTGAATGAGTGTGTGAGTGTGTGAGTGGGTGAGTGTGTGAGTGAGTGAGTGTATGAGTGAGTGTGTGATTGAGTGTGAGGGCGAGTGGGTGGGTGGGTTAGTGAGTTGGGTGAGTGGGTGGGTGGGTAAGTGGGTAGGTGAGTGGGTGGGTGAGTGGGTGGGTGAGTGAGTCTGTGGATGAGTCAGTTTAGGAGTGAGTTTATAAATGAGAGAATCAGTGCATGACTGACTGACTGAGCGGACAAGTGAGTGAGCGAGTAGATGACTAAGTGACTGACTGAGTAAGAAGGTTAGTAAGCGATTGGGTGAGCGAGTGAGTAGGTGACTGAGTAAGCGATTGGGTGAGCGAGTGAGTAGGTGACTGAGTGAGCGATTGGGTGAGTAGGTGACTGAGTAAGCGATTGGGTGAGCGAGTGAGTAGGTGACTGAGTGAGCGATTGGGTGAGTAGGTGACTGAGTGAGCGATTGGGTGAGTAGGTGACTGAGTAAGCGATTGGGTGAGCGAGTGAGTAGGTGACTGAGTGAGCGATTGGGTGAGTAGGTGACTGAGTGAGCGATTGGGTGAGCGAGCGGATGACTGACCGAGTCAATGAGCGGGTGAGTGAGCGACTGACTGAGCAGGCGAGTGATTGAGCGATTGCGTGAGCGAGCGATTGGGTGACTGAGTGGATGAGTCAGTGAGTGACTAAACGAGTGAGCCGGTGACTGACTGAGTGGGTGAGCGAGTGGATGAGTGATTGACCGATTGGGCGAGTGATTGGGTGAGCGAGTAGATGACTCAGTGAGTGACTGAGCGAGTGAGCGGGTGATTGGATGAGTGAGTGACTGACTGAGTGAGTGAGCGAGTGGATCACTGACTGAATGGGTGAGTGATTGGGTGAGTAGAGGAGTCAGTGAGTGACTGAGCGAGTGAGCGGGTGATTGGGTGAGCGTGCGATTGGATGAGCGAGCGAGCGACTGAGTGAGTGAGTGGATCATTGATTGAATGAGCGGGTGAGCGATTGGCTGAGTGAGTGACTTAGTGAGCGAGCGAGTGGATGACTGACTGAGTGAGTGAGTGTGTGAGCGATTGGGTGAGTCGAGTGATTGAGTGAGCGATTGGCGGAGTGAGTGAGCGGATGGATGACTGACTGACTGAGCAATTGGGTGAGTGAGCAAGTAGATGGATGACTGAGTGACTGACTGAGTGAGCGATCGGGTGAGTGGGTGAGCGAGTGGGTGAGTGAGTGGATGACTGAGTGAGTGGGTGAGCAATTGGGTGAGTGAGCGAGCGATTGGGTGAGTGAGCGAGTGAGTGGATGACTGACTGAGGGACTCAGTGGGTGATTGAGTGGGTGGGTGAGCGAGCGAGTGGATGACTGAGTGAGCGATTGAGTGGGTGAGCGATTGGGCGAGTGAGTGAGCGAGTGAGTGGATGGATGACTGATTGACTGAGTAAGTGACTGAGTGACTGAGTGGGTGGGTGAGCGAGCGAGTGGATGGATGACTGAGTGGGTGAGCGATTGGGTGAGTGAGTGAGCGAGTGAGTGGATGACAGATTGACTGAGTAAGTGACTGAGTGACTGAGTGGGTGGATGGATGACTGATTGACTGAGTAAGTGACTGAGTAACTGAGTGGGTGGGTGGGTGAGCGAGCGAGTAGATGACTGACTGACTGAGTGGGTGAGCGATTGGGTGAGTGAGTGGATGGATGACTGAGTGGGTGGGTGAGCGATTGGGTAAGTGAACGGCCGATTGGGTGAGTGAGCGAGTGAGTGGATGACTGACTGAGCGACTAAGTGGGTGATTGAGTGGGTGAGCGATTGGGGGAGTGAGTGAGCGAGTGAGTGGATGGATGACTGATTGACTGAGCAAGTGACTGAGTGACTGAGTAGGTGGGTGAGCGAGCGAGTGGATGACTGAGTGGGTGAGCGATTGGGTGAGTGAGTGAGTGAGTGGATGGATGACTGACTAAGTGACTGAGTAGGTGGGTGAGCGAGCGAGTGGATGACTGACTGAGTGGGTGAGCGATTAGGTGAGTGAGTGAGCGAGTGAGTGGATGGATGACTGACTGACTAAGTGACTGAGTGAGTGGGTGAGCGAGCGGATGACTGACCGATTGAGTGAGCGATTGGGTGAGTGAGTGAGCGAGCGAGTGGATGACTGATTGACTGACTAAGTGACTGAGTGGGTGGGTGAGCGAGTGGATGACTGACTGACTGAGTGGGTGAGCGATTGAGTGAGCGAGCGAGTGAGTGAGTGGATGGATGACTGAGTGACTGAGTGGGTAGGTGAGCGAGCGAGTGGATGGATGACTGACTAAGTAAGTGACTGAGTGGGTGGGTTGGTGAGCGAGCGAGTGGATGACTGACTGAGTGAGTGAGCGATTGGGTGAGTGAGCGAGTGGATGGATGACTGATTGACTGACTAAGTGACTGAGTGGGTGGGTGAGTGAGTGAGTGGATGACTGACTGACTGAGTAAGTGACTGAGTGGGTGAGCGAGTGAGTGGATGGATGACTGACTGACTGAGTGGGTGAGCGAGTGAGTGGATGGATGACTGATTGACTGACTGAGTAAGTGACTGAGTGGGTGAGCAAGCGAGTGGATGACTGACTGAGTGGGTGAGCGATTGAGTGAGCGAGCGAGTGGATGGATGACTGAGTGGGTGAGCGATTGAGTGAGCGAGCGAACGAGCGGATGACTGACTGACTGAGTGGGTGAGCGATTGAGTGAGCGAGCGAGTGAGCGAGCGACTCCTCACCGCGACCGCCGCCGGTACGGCGACCGTGAGGAGCGCGAGGGCGACCGCCTCCGCTCCCTCTTGGCTGGCTCCCTCTTGGCTGGCTCCCGTGGCTCCCGTGGCTCGCGGGGAACCTCACGGACGTCGCGAGCCTCACGAGCCGGCCTCTTGCGTGGCTCACGCGAGCCTCCTGGAGGTGGCAAGAAGAGGGAGACAGGGGGGGGGGACACGGGGAGGGGGGAGACACGGGGAGGGAGACACGGGGAGGAGGGAGACACGGGGAGTGAGACACGGGGGGGAGGGAGACACGGGGAGGAGGGAGACACGGGGAGGGAGACACGGGGAGGGAGACACGGGGAGGGAGACACGGGGGGGAGGGAGACACGGGGAGGAGGGAGACACGGGGAGGGAGACACGGGGAGGGAGACACGGGGGGGAGGGAGACACGGGGAGGAGGGAGACACGGGGGGAGGGAGACACTTAGGGGAGGAGGAGGGAGACACGGGGAGGGGAGGGAGACACGGGGAGGAGGGAGACGCGGGGGGAGACACGGGGAGGGAGACACGGGGATGAGGGAGACGTGGAGGGGAGGGAGACACGGGGAGGAGGGAGACACGGGGAGGAGGGAGACACGGGGAGGAGACACGGGGAGGAGGGAGACACGGGGAGGAGGGAGACACGGGGGGGAGACACGGGGGGGAGACACGGGGGAGAGAGACACGGGGAGGGAGACACGAGGGGGAGGGAGACACGGGGAGGAGGGAGACACGGGGAGGAGGGAGACACGGGGAGGAGGGAGACACGGGGAGGGAGACACGGGGGGGAGACACGGGGAGGAGGGAGACACGGGGAGGAGGGAGACACAGGGAGGGAGACACGGGGAGGAGGGAGACACGGGGGGGAGACACGGGGGGGAGGGAGACACGGGGAGGAGGGAGACACGGGGGGGAGACACGGGGGGGAGACACAGGGAGGGAGACACGGGGGGGAGACACGGGGAGGAGGGAGACACGGGGGGGAGACACGGGGGGGGAGGGAGACACGGGGAGGAGGGAGACACGGGGGGGAGACACGGGGGGGAGACACAGGGAGGGAGACACGGGGGGGAGACACGGGGAGGAGGGAGACACGGGGGGGAGACACGGGGGGGAGGGAGACACGGGGAGGAGGGAGACACGGGGGGGAGACACGGGGGGGAGGGAGACACAGGGGGAGGGAGACACGGGGGGGAGACACGGGGAGGAGGGAGACACGGGGGGGAGACACGGGGGGGAGGGAGACACGGGGAGGAGGGAGACACGGGGAGGAGGGAGACACGGGGGGGGAGACACGGGGAGGAGGGAGACACGGGGAGGAGGGAGACACGGGGAGGAGGGAGACACGGGGGGGAGACACGGGGAGGAGGAGGAGACACGGGGAGGAGGGAGACACAGGGAGGGAGACACGGGGAGGAGGGAGACACGGGGGGGAGACACGGGGAGGAGGGAGACACGGGGGGGAGACACGGGGAGGACACGGGAGACACGGGGAGGAGGGAGACACAGGGAGGGAGACACGGGGGGGAGGGAGACACAGGGAGGGAGACACGGGGGGGAGACACGGGGAGGAGGGAGACACGGGGGGGAGACACGGGGGGGAGGGAGACACGGGGAGGAGGGAGACACGGGGGGGAGACACGGGGAGGAGGGAGACACGAAGAGCTGTTAGCGCTCCTAGTGCGTAGTTTGTCGTAATGATTAGCAGTTAGTAGTAGTTATAATTAGTAGTTAGTTAGTAGTGGTAGTTAGTAGTAGTTAGTAGTTATAATTAGTGGTAGTTTGTAGTAATACTTAATAGTTAGTTAGTAGTAGTTAGTTGTAGTGGTAGTTTGTAGTGTTAGTTAGTAGTAGTTAGTTGTAGTGGTAATTAGTAGTGGTAGTTAGTAGTGTTAGTAGTTAGTGTTAGTTTGTAGTAGTAGTAAGTGGTAGTTAGTATTATTAGTTAGTAGTAGTAGTGTAAGTAGTTAGTAAAGTGTAAATGTTTGCGGGTTTCGGCGACTCCGTATGCGGCCTAGGCCCGAGCGAGGCGCTCACCTCGTCTAGCCGACGGCGATCGGCTCCGGCTCCGGCCCATCTCCACACTCCTCGGCAAACAAACAACAACAACAAACAAAGACGACTTCGCTCTGGTTCGACGCTAAATGTTTGAATCGGCCGACTTATGCGGAGAGGCCGATATGGAACGTTCCCGAACCCGAAGCGAAATGGATAAACAACCAGAGCCGTGACGTCACTCGGCAACGTTGCGATGACGTCACGTCACCCGCCGCACTACTTGCTGTGAATGACGTCACTCGGCAATGCAGCGATGGCGTCACGTCACCCGCCGCACACTTGCTCCGGATAACGTCACTTGCAAGGTGGCGATGACGTCACGTCACCCGCCGCACACTTGCTGTGAATGACGTCGCCAAACAAGGTTGGGATGACGTCACTTGCACGCGCGAGCCGTGAATGACGTCACTCGCAATTTCGATTTAAAGCTTCTTTCGTGACTGCAGGGATTCATCTTCTTGGTTCTTTCGGTAAAGTCACGTAGAATGGAAATAATAAAATAATAAAAATAAAACTTTTCTTGCCGTGGTTTTCACACCTGATGATGATTGCTTGTGTTGCAATCGAAACGTCGTGATAATTTTATTGTTTTATATTTTTATTATTTTATTATTTCCCTTCTACGTGACTTTACCGAAAGAACTCGCAATGTTAAGATGTCATAACACTTGCATACGCTCGCCCTGAATGACGTCACTTGCAAGGTTGACTTGACGTCACGTCACCGACACACAACCTTTGAATGACGTCGCTCGCAATGTTTTGGTGACGTCACGCCACTCGCCACTCGCTCGCCCTGAGTGACGTCACTTGCAAGGTTGAATTGACGTCACGTCACCCACACACTCGCCCCGAGTGACGTCACTTGCAAGCATTACGATTACGTCATGTCACCCAATACCAACAACCGCAAAGTGGCGGTGACGTCACCACGGCGGCTGTGCCAGGCTATGTGCACCTTGAGGCCACGTGAAGTGTTGAAGGCTCGCTGTTGACAGGAGGAGGTCACGGGACAGACCCTGCAGGTGCCATGGGTTGACTGCTGTGCCAGGCTAGGTGCATGAGGAGGTCACGGGACAGACCCTGCAGGTGCCATGGGTTGACTGCTGTGCCAGGCTAGGTGCATGAGGAGGTCACGGGACAGACCCTGCAGGTGCCATGGGTTGACTGCTGTGCCAGGCTAGGTGCATGAGGAGGAGGTCACGGGACAGACCCAGCAGGTGCCATGGGTTGACTGCTGTGCCAGGCTAGGTGCAGGAGGAGGTCACGGGACAGACCCTGCAGGTGCCATGGGTTGACTGCTGTGCCAGGCTAGGTGCAGGAGGAGGTCACGGGACAGACCCTGCAGGTGCCATGGGTTGACTGCTGTGCCAGGCTAGGTGCATGAGGAGGAGGTCACGGGACAGACCCAGCAGGTGCCATGGGTTGACTGCTGTGCCAGGCTAGGTGCAGGAGGAGGTCACGGGACAGACCCAGCAGGTGCCATGGGTTGACTGCTGTGCCAGGCTAGGTGCAGGAGGAGGTCACGGGACAGATCCTGCAGGTGCCATGGGTTGTACTGCTGTGCCAGGCTAGGTGCAGGAGGAGGTCACGGGACAGACCCTGCAGGTGCCATGGGTTGACTGCTGTGCCAGGCTAGGTGCATGAGGTCACGGGACAGACCCTGCAGGTGCCATGGGTTGACTGCTGTGCCAGGCTAGGTGCAGGAGGAGGAGGTCACGGGACAGACCCTGCAGGTGCCATGGGTTGACTGCTGTGCCAGGCTAGGTGCATGAGGAGGTCACGGGACAGACCCTGCAGGTGCCATGGGTTGACTGCTGTGCCAGGCTAGGTGCATGAGGAGGTCACGGGACAGACCCAGCAGGTGCCATGGGTTGACTGCTGTGCCAGGCTAGGTGCATGAGGAGGAGGTCACGGGACAGACCCTGCAGGTGCCATGGGTTGACTGCTGTGCCAGGCTAGGTGCATGAGGAGGTCACGGGCTTAGGGGCATGAGGAGGTCACGGGACAGACCCAGAAGGTGCCATGGGTTGACTGCTGTGCCAGCTAGGTGCATGAGGATAGTGGTCACGGGGACAGACCCATGCAGGTGCCATGGGTTGACTGCTGTGCCAGGCTAGGGTGCATGAGGAGTGGTCACGGGAACAGACCCTGCAAGGTGCCATGGGTTGACTGCTGTGCCAGGCTAGGTGCATGAGGAGGTTCACGGGACAGACCCTGCAGGTGCCATGGGTTGACCTGCTGTGCCAGGCTAGGTGCAGGAGGAGGAGGTCACGGGACAGACCAGCAGGTGCCATGGGTTGACTGCTGTGCCAGGCTAGGTGCAGGAGGAGGGTCACGGGACAGACCCTGCAGGTGCCATGGGTTGACTGCTGTGCCAGGCTAGGTGCAGGAGGAGGTCACGGGACAGACCCAGCAGGTGCCATGGGTTGACTGCTGTGCCAGGCTAGGTGCATGGGAGAGGTCACGGGGACAGACCCCAGCAGGTGCCATGGGTTGACTGCTGTGCCAGGCTAGGTGCAGGAGGAGGTCACGGGACAGACCCAGCAGGTGCCATGGGTTGACTGCTGTGCCAGGCTAGGTGCAGGAGGAGGTCACGGGACAGACCCTGCAGGTGCCATGGGTTGTACTGCTGTGCCAGGCTAGGTGCAGGAGGAGGTCACGGGACAGATCCTAGCAGGTGCCATGGGTTGACTGCTGTGCCAGGCTAGGTGCATGAGGAGGTCACGGGACAGACCCTGCAGGTGCCATGGGTTGACTGCTGTGCCAGGCTAGGTGCAGGAGGAGGAGGTCACGGGACAGACCCTGCAGGTGCCATGGGTTGACTGCTGTGCCAGGCTAGGTGCATGAGGAGGTCACGGGACAGACCCTGCAGGTGCCATTGGTTGACTGCTGTGCCAGGCTAGGTGCATGAGGAGGTCACGGGACAGACCCAGCAGGTGCCATGGGTTGACTGCTGTGCCAGGCTAGGTGCATGAGGAGGAGGTCACGGGACAGACCCTGCAGGTGCCATGGGTTGACTGCTGTGCCAGGCTAGGTGCATGAGGAGGTCACGGGACAGACCCAGCAGGTGCCATGGGTTGACTGCTGTGCCAGGCTAGGTGCATGAGGAGGTGGTCACGGGACAGACCCAGCAGGTGCCATGGGTTGACTGCTGTGCCAGGCTAGGTGCATGAGGAGGTCACGGGATAGACCCTGCAGGTGCCATGGGTTGACTGCTGTGCCAGGCTAGGTGCATGAGGAGGTCACGGGACAGACCCTGCAGGTGCCATGGGTTGACTGCTGTGCCAGGCTAGGTGCAGGAGGAGGTCACGGGACAGACCCAGCAGGTGCCATGGGTTGACTGCTGTGCCAGGCTAGGTGCATGAGGAGGTCACGGGACAGACCCAGCAGGTGCCGTGGGTTGACTGCTGTGCCAGGCTAAGTGCATGAGGAGGTCACGGGACAGACCCAGCAGGTGCCATGGGTTGACTACTGTGCCAGGCTAGGTGCAGGAGGAGGTCACGGGACAGACCCAGCAGGTGCCATGGGTTGACTGCTGTGCCAGGCTAGGTGCACCAGGAGGAGGTCACGAGACAGACCCTGCAGGTGCCATGGGTTGACTGCTGTGCCAGGCCAGGTGCACCAGGAGGAGGTCAAGGGACAGACCCAGCAGGTGCCACGGGTAGACTGCTGTGCCAGGCTAGGTGCATGAGGAGGAGGTCACGGGACAGACCCAGCAGGTGCCATGGGTTGACTGATTAGATGACTGGCAAATGCACCACCACCTGTGCCCCCGACTGTGCCAACTTTCTGTTTCCTTATCCAACCGGCGCTCTGCTCGTTGTTGTGAGCGTCGCTCCTCCGCCCACCTACCCACTCACTAACCCACCCACTCACTAACCCACCCACCCATTAATCCATTCACCCACCCAATCACCCACTAACCCACCCACCCTTTAACCCACTCACTCACCCACCTACTCACCGACCCACCCATTCACTCACCCACCCATCCATCTGTAATGAGTGGCTCCGACACGATAAAAAGTTGAAACGTGATAATATTTTTTTTACCCTTTTATCTGGCAACAAAACTGACACCTTTTTTTTACGAGGAGTCATGTTTGCATAGACCACAATACCTGCAGTCATAATGCAAACAAAAAACATAACTCTGATAATGTATGCACTGTCCTTATCAGAGTTATGTTTTTGTTTGCATTATGACTGCAGGTATTGTGGTCTATGCAAACATGACTCCTTGTAAAAAAAGTGTCAGTTTTGTTGCCAGATAGAAGGGTAAACAACCAATTATCATATTTTTTACTGGCAAATGAGGTTCCAATGGCGTAAATGCTTCACCCCGAGCTCTCATACTCTGATGGTGCATTGTCTTTGAGTTGTGCGCCTTTTGGCGTCATCTGGTCCAACCCATGTGAGACTAGGCTCTAAGGAAAGCTGTCTCGGGTGTGGACCAATCAACTTCAAGGACTGTGCATATCATTATCAGAGTTATGTTTTTTGTTTGCATTATGACTGCAGGTATTGTGGTCTTTGCAAACACGACTCTTCGTAAAAAAGGCGTCAGTTTTGTTGCCAGATAAAAGGGTAAAAAAACAATTATCATATTTTTCTACTGGCAAATGAGGTTCCAATGGTGCAAGTTGAAACGTTTCTTTAATTAATCTTCGGTACATCTTGTTGGTTCTTTCGGTAAAGTCACGTAGAAGGGAAATAATAAAATAATAAAAATAAAACAATAACATATTTTTTATTTTTACTATTTTATTATTTCCCTTCTACGTGACTTTACCGAAAGAACCAAGAAGACTTTATTTTATTATTTTTATTGTTTCCATTCTACGTGACGACTTTACCGAAAGAACCAAGAAGATGAATCCCTGCAGTCACGAAAGCTTTAAATCGAAATTTAACCGCCACTACGGGGTGGGATTCTACAAAACTTTAAGATCCTTCAACAAGCTCCGGGAGAAGAAGGCTCAGCTAATCGAGTCTCTCACCTTTCTGAAGAGATGCCGCGACTCTAAGGTAATACCAATCGCATTTACACTAAATTCCTCTTGATATGCAAATTATTTTGTCAAGGCGCTCTTCTTCCACCTCTAACCCAGCTTATATATACTCTCCAAGCTTGGCAGTGTTTCATTCTTCACCTGAAGACGGCTGCTTGCGTTGTAGCCGAAACGTCGTGAGAATTATTTTATTATGTTTTATTTTTATTATTTTTATTGTTTCCATTCTACGTGACTTTACCGAAAGAACCAAGAAGATAGATGCACTTCTTCCCCTAGACAACCCATCACTGCATATCACACCGCACCCCACACAATACAGGAGATGGCGCTCTCATTACACATCCACCCAGCTGTCTCTGGTGTGAACCAATCAGTTTCACAGCCAATGCCATGTATAATTATCAGAGCATGTTTGCATGTTCACCACAAGTACTGTGTGTGATTAATGCCGACTTGATTCGTTGAAAAAGGTTTCTATTTGGTGTTTGAACATCTTAACACCTCAGAAGTCGCAAACGGGTTTTGATTCCTTACCCGTACCCGTACCCGGCCGTACCCGGCTACCCGTACCCGGCCGGGTATCGGGTAGGGTACGGGTACGAGTACCCGATTGCGACCTCTGGGATGAAGCCATGTTGCAGGCGCGTGTGGGTTGATTCTAGGAACTTGAATTGTGAGAAGAGACAAGACGTTGGGAAATGAGTGACAAACGGTGACTCACCGGTGACTCACGGCCTACCCGTACCCGTACCCGGCCGCACCAGGGTCGCAAACGGGTACCCGGCTACCCGTACCCGGTTATCGGGTAGGGTACGGGTATCGGGTACCCGATTGCGACCTCTGTAACACCTTCTGTTTTATTGCGAGAAATGGTCAAACCTATTCTTATTTTTTCATACTTTTGAAATAAACCACTTCAGACGCTGTCTTCTCGACAGACCTGTTCTTCACCTGAGGACGGCTGCTTGCGTTGTGGCCGAAACGTCGTGAGAATTATTTTATTATGTTTTATTTTTATTATTTTATTACTTCCATTCTACGTGACGACTTTACCGAAAGAACCAAGAAGATAAACCACTGCGACGACAATCTGGACTTGTGTCTTCATCTTTATTAATTCTTTCCACAGCTGGACAGTGCCGCTCTCTCTCTCTCTCTCTGGCACGGCAGCACTCCGTTCCGCACGGCTGGTGGTTACTCGCGTCTCCTCTCTCTCTCAACCTCTCCCGCTCTCCTCATCCTCAATAAACCCGTAAAAACAAAGTTTTTCACTCTAAATCCTGTATATGCGGGGCGGCTAGAGTCCTCTCGTCCTCTGGCTTGAGATGGCTGCCACCTATGGGTCAGATGATTGTCTGCCAGTATTAAGCAATTGGTAATTAAATATTTAATTTGTTTTCCCTAAACAGTGTAAAATTTTGGAAAAAAATTTTCATGAACATTAATTGTCTCGCACAACGAGTCTGTGTGCAAAATATCAGCTCGATTGGATCACGGGAAGTGGATTAAAAAACGACCGAAAGATTTGCACGGTTGTAAGCAAGCAAGCAAGCACGCAAGCAAGCAAGCGAACTTAATATAAGGATTTAAAAAGAAAAATTCAGGGCCCACCCTGGCTCCTCCCACCCTCAACCAGTATATATACAAATACTGTAGTAGGTTTTTACCCTTTTAACTGGTACAAAACTGACACCTTTATTCAATGCATCATGTTTGCAATGACCACAACACAAGTAGTCAAAAAAGCAAACAAAAAGAAGCAACTCTGATAATGATAATAATATGCACTGTCCTTGAAGTTGATTGGTCCACACCCGAGACAGCTTTCTTTAGAGCCTAGTCCCCATTGGTGTTGGACCAGATGACACCAAAAGGTGTACAACTCAAACACAGTGCACTATCAGAGTATTGAGAGCTCGGGGTAAGCATTTACACTATGAGATCTCTTTTACCAGTGGCGAAATATAGTAATAGGTAAAAACCTACTACTATATTTTGCCACTGTTTTCTTGGAATTTCTCTCACTTGATACAGCAATCGTGCTGTGACGGTTCCACCTGAAGACGGAAGCTTGTGTTGGCTCCGAAACGTCGTGATTTTTATTTTATTTTTATTTTACTTTTAATTTTAATTTTTTACCTACGTGACTTTACCGAAAAAACCTAAGAATCTCCCGCTCCCGCGCGCCGCTGACAGGCGGTGCGCTGGGAGGAAGCCTCCGGAACCTTCAAGATGGTTACTTCCCCCGAGCCTTTTAAGCTCCGCCCCTAACCTCGGCCCGTCCCTCCGATTGGGTGATGGCCCAAGGGGCGGAGCCTATCCACTGATCGGCGCTCGTCGGTGAACTCTCGTATTACACTTTGATACTGGGGGAAAATGTATCCCATGTTGTAGCTGCTCACCCCGAGCTATAAATGCCATGAAAGTAGCATTGTCCTTGTTCACCTTTAGGCGTTCTCTGGTCTGACGCTGGTGAGACTAGGCCCTAAAGAAGGCTGTCTCTAGTAGTACACGCGCATGCCCCTGCAGGTGCCTGTTTTGCACAAAGGCCGTGCTAATCAACAGAAACGGCGGCGGTATCAATATTGATGCGTAAACGACGGTCAGTGAATTTGGCGCACCCCGCCGCCGCCTTAATTACTCGCGCGGTGCTGCAGGCGCGCGTGTGGAAAACCCGCGTAAACAACGGCGGCCGTATATGTGGTAACACACGCGCGCCCCCCACACACAGAAGTCACACTACACCAATATTCTGAACTAAAGTTTATTAATGGCGCATCTAGATGTAATGTGAGGATATATCCGGGTCACTGACGGATCACAACTCGTCACGATGATTGGCTCTGCCGGTCCTGGTCCATAGCCAATGGGGGGAAGCCTAGGGGCGTGGCCCTGACGTGATGGAAAGGTGACAGCTGTAAGTAGAGGATTGGTTCTGCTGGCTTTAGCCACAGCCAATGGGGAGACGAGTCAGGGGCGTGGTCCCGTGAGCCTACGATGGAGTCTGGAAGATTCCATAAAGGCTAACCAGGATTGGTGGAAACGTACCACGTGACCCGGGTATTAAATAGGGGTGGAGACGAACAACACGTGGTCAGAACTGGAACGAACGGAGGGAGAGGCCACGCGAGAGCGGGGTCCAGGCTGCCACGTGGTCCAGGCTGCCACGTGATCCAGGCTGCCACGTGGCCCAAGCTGCCACGTAGCTGCGCGCGTCTCTCTCTCTCTCTATCCCTCTCACGCTGTCAGCAGCGTGAAGGAGTGTTGTAAAGAAAGACAAATAAAGACCGGATTCCAGAAGTCGCTTCCACGACCTTTATTACATAAAGAAAAAAAACCCTGTGTGGCCCGGAGCCAATATTCTACGAGCAGCGCCTAACCTATCACTACTCAATCCCTTAGGTGTACCCCC